AGAGGTGTGGTTCAGGACTGTTGTGCACATCAGAAAAATAGTCACTGTATAAAGGTCCTGTTATTGTGGGTAGAAAACAAAGAGATGACTGCAAAACCTTTTTTAACATGAAGAGGTATATTCATTTCGTGTCTGACCAACCTTATGGCATTCATTTAAATGTAATTGTTTGTACTTTTACAGTGAATTTCAGAAACCTTTTAAATTGAATGTCCCATGTAAGAGCAGAAAAAAGTTTTAGGGTATGGGAGAATCCCTTTTATAAGTTAAAGCTTCTCAGTAAATGGAGGATACATCTTCCTTTTAGATATGAGTGGTAAAAGTCTGTCTATTTGAGGTAGATGCAAACCTTATTCTCCTGGTTAGTTGCTAATATGACCTTCAGCTGGGGCAAAATTTAACCTTGCAATATTGAATGTGATACTCTGTCTGGTCTTTCCTAAACTAATGTTATTCGTCACAAAACATCCATACAGGGTGGGTTCATAAAAGAAAAAGATCCAACAATCTAGCATTCTCAGACTTCCACTTTACACTTTCAGGTACAATGTGAAATTGCAAAGCTTTTTTACCTTCAAAAGAAAGAATGTTGGAAATGGCAACACCGTCAACAATGAGCTGGAAGATGGTAATGCATATTATGGCATTAGCTGTGATGACCCATCCATACCATTGCTATTGAAAGGTAAGGCTAAGCAGACAGGAGTTGGACAAAGCATTGACACACAGTATTTTTTAATGGTGATCAAAGCACTTGTAACGTTCAGCTGTGGAGGATGATATTGTTATTGGGCTAACTTGACAAATTCAGTCCAGCTAAGCCTTTGGGAATTATAGTTCTTTCCAGGGAGGATGGAAACATGCTACTTCATATCCTTGTAGTGTTGCTGTCTTCTGTTTTCTTGATCAGGAATAAGTGATCGAATTACACACCCATAAAATAAATACTTTTTCTTTGCAGGAGGAATCTCATTTTCTCACTAAGATGTTTAAATTATTGGCAGTAAGTGAAACATGAATCAGAGTGGGATAGCTACAGCAGCAGATGGGGCAAAAGGAATCAATATAACATGAGGCTAAGTTTGCATACAAGGAAAATGGGGTCTCTTCCTAAACTAGTATTCAGTCTTGTGTGCAAAATGGAAACAAAATTTCTTGCAGGCAGTTTTGGCTCCAGGGGGGAAGATGGCATCCTGCTGCCAATGCTGCCTGAGAGTTTGTCTCTGCTCTGCTAACTTCCCTTCATAGCTGCTTCTTATCACTGCCTCTCCCCACAGAACGAAATGAATACTGCCTTTGAGGCTCAAACTGTCTCACTCCTTGAGGTCTTTCTGACTAATCAGGTCTTATTATTTCACTATATACAAGCAATTTTAAGTTTCTGTTGTACGTTTTGAATTGAAGTCAGCATTTAAGATGGACATCTGGTCATATAAGACTTAGGGCTTTGTTTTCCAGGCACATTTTAGATCCATCTAATTCTCTAGAGGCTCACAGTATGAACAGCCTTTCTCTCCCTTTGTCTTCTTTATGTATTTAGATTAGAAGTGGACAACACTTTCTCTTACTGTATGTGAGGGAACAGGGCACAGCATAATACAGGTTCTGATCTCTTATGGAGTCTCTAGGTGCTACAGTAGTATAAAGAATCAAATAATTAGTTCATGTTTGTAAAATAAAAAGGAAAAGAAGAAGGAGGCTTGAGGCATTATGTAAGGAGGGTAATACAATTCTAGACCCATCAATTTTTGCCAACTCCAACTATTCTCCATAAAAGACTTCATC